AGGAAGGAAGGAAGGAAGGAAGGAAGGAAGGAAGGAAGGAAGGAAGGAAGGAAGGAAGGAAGGGCGGGCTGGGGCTATGCTCACCCTGACCACCTCACATCTCTTCCTGGGACACCGGCAGAGTGACAGGCAGCAGGAACTGAGGGACAGTGCCTGGGTGGGTTCTGAGGGAGGAGGAGCTGATTCTGTGCACTCCATGTCTCGCTGCACAGGCCCACTGGCACAGGTGGGGAGCAGGGGGACTGTTTCAGAGAGGAACAGGGAGCTGATGCCTCACTACATTGCTGTCGGAGGAAGTCTGGTGACACTGGAAGTCACTGGATCTGATTGGCTCCATTTTGTGAAGGCTTGAATGCTGGCCCAGGGCTCAGGCAGCTGCCAGACCCTCACTCACAGGCATGTTGATGTGGGCACTCAGCAGGGGCGCACTCTGGCCTTCCCGGAGTACTAGCACCTAGGGAGGAGGAGACATGGCCGACAGGGCAACTTGACCTCTCCTCTTCACCAACAGCAAATCTGTCTGTGCTGGCTCAAGTGACAGGTTCCCAGCCTATCTGTTAAAGGGTTGGGAAGGCTGCGAGGCCTCTGCTGTGCTAACATACCCCATCACAGCCCAGGGCCCTGACAGTCTTCTCCACCCTCATTCTACTGGCTTCCCCAGGGTCCCACTTGCCTCTCTGAAATAGCAACCTACCTTGATCATGTCTGAGATGCCCTTGCTACTGAGACTCTCCACAAAGGTCTCCAGTGGGTAACTGAGTCCTGGTACCAGCAAAGGAACCTGTTTGGGGAACAGAAATAGATTAATCCTCAAAGCTCACATACCTAGACAGCATCTGGCAGATTACAAAGCGTTTATGCCTGTCCTCTCAGGAAGCTTCAGCCTGGGCAAGTATGACTAACCAGATCCAGGGAACAAGGTGCAGGGAAGGTAAGTGCAAGCCTGGGGCTCATGTGTCTGTGGTTAAACCTAGTCTACCAAGGCTGACTCCTCCCTGTTCCAGAGCTTTAATTATTGCTTCGCCCAACTTGAGAACACCATAGCCCTGGGGAAGCAGGTCCTTTGCTTCCATAGTGACTGGGGCAGAGAGTGGCTCCTTTTCCTCAGCAGGAACAGTTGGGAAACAGCATGATCTGGAGCCCCCTGCCCTCTCCAATTAGGAGCACAGAGGAAAAACTCACACAGCCATTTTCCAGCTCCTTCTGTGTGGCTTCCTGGGGTCTCTTTGGCTGGGAGAAAAGGCAGTAGAGGCAGGGGCTGTCTGGTCTCTGGCTTGTGTTGATCTATTAGCCACTCCCTTACTCTTACTACAACCTAATAGGGGCACTTTGTCAGCCCCAGCCCTGACTGTTGGAGTCCATGTCAGCATGAAGATCTAGTACCTTAAAGAAGGCCTGAGGCAGGGCATAGAGTGCCTCGTTGTACAGGAAGCAGACCTGCAGACCTAGTACTGGCCGAGCTGTTGACGTATTCTGCAAGTGAAGTGTGAGCTTAAAGGTGGGACCCAGGCCTTGAACCTGTGGAGAGAGTAAGATGGAGAGGCCCTTAAGATCCATTGGCCTTGAACACTGAATACCACCATCTTGCCTGCTGCTTCTCCATCAAGGGCCTCGAGATATTCTTCTCCAGTTCCATCTATCTGTTTCTTAAAGGGCACAGAAGCAGAGAGATGGCAAAGGCATGGATCAGGGAAGGTCTTGATGGATGCTACTTAGCAGATTCAAGTCCAGTTGGCTCAGGGCTGCAGTTGTGCTCATCACTGACCCCAGTGTGGGCACAACTGCCTTCCTTTTCCATCCTGGTGGCTCAATGACTTAAAGACCACCTCCTCCCATTCTAAGTGGCTCGATAATCCTCCCTTTTTCTATATCTAGCCACTCTCTTCAGAAAAGAAACATCTGAAGTTAAGCATGGTGGTGCATGCCTTTAATCCTAGCATTTGGAAGGCTGAGGCAGGTGGATCTCTGACTTTGAGGCCAGTCTGATCTACAGAGTTTCAAGACAGCCAGGGCTACACAGAGAAACCCTGCCTTGGTGAAGAGGAAAAGAAAAGAAAAGAAAAGAAAAGAAAAGAAAAGAAAAGAAAAGGAAAGAAAAGAAAAGAAAAGGAGCAATCAGAATACAGGCTCTAAGAACACACCCAGGCTCGCTCAGAATTGGTTAGGGCCCTCGGGTTTGTGTGCATACGTGTGTATGTACGTGTTTACCTAGAGTCAGGTCAGGGTGAACCTTCCCTGTACTAATTTTGTAGGCTGCTCATGCCAACAGAAATCACTCTCTGCCTTCATCTGCGGCCAGGAAAATCCCTCCAGGTTCCTGGGCTGTACAATATCCCACTGTAACTATTCTGCTTATTATACCCCACTCCAGCCTAGGGGTTTGAGGTACAGCATGGAACAAAAGAGCATGTGCCCCTCTGTAGCAGCCACAGAAGAGGAGAGCATAGTAGCTGAGCAGCCCTCTCAGGAGGACAGGAGCCTCAGGCTCTGCCCTGTGAGGTGGTGAGATGGGAGCACAGGGCTAGGTGGCTCGGCAGTGGCTCTGGGTGCTTACCTGTGCAGCAGGGAGGATGCCATTCACCCCTACCCCTAATGTCCCTACACTTGGATACTTACCACAGCATGCAGCTTGAGTGGCTCCCGAGCTGTGGTTGACATGGGGCTCAGGCTGGACTGCAGGGCCTGAACATAGGCTCTGGCAGCTCGGAGGCGCAGCAGGTAGAGGTCAGTCTGGAAGGTCCGGTGCATGGCTGCAGAGAGGACATGAAGACTGAAACAGTGCAAGGTGAGAGTACTCTTGCTTACATTATGTGAGAAGAACAGAAAAGAAAGGCATGATGGGAATAGGCAGGGCAAGGCAGGCCTGCAGGCGCTGGGAAGACTGTGGTAGGCAGGGCCATGCTGGACGCTGTGGAGCACAGCCCACTTCTTCCTTCCTGGCTCTCCTACGACCTCACTGCACACACAATCTCAGTCTCTATCCTCGCTTCTTTTGTTCACCCCTCAAGGCTGGATTTCAGTTTCAAGGCTGATTTTGGCCTTGGTCTTCTCACTCACCACCTTGTTCTCTGGATTAGCCCAAGGAACATTACTTTCCAGCTCCTAAAGGCTTCAAACTGGTTCCCATATCCACATGTTAAGCTCCAGATGTGCAGACACTACTGTATGGTGTGTCTCTAGCAGCTTGTGGGTGCCCAGGCCTGCCTCTGCTTTCACCTCTTAGTCATCTCCATCTATGTATGGTCCTATCCACACCAAGCTCAACCACCTACCCGCTGCCCCTGTCCCTAAGTCCCCTTGTTGGCTCCCTTAGCCCTAACCATTTGCCGGGTGCAGATGACCCTTCCTGAAATCCACTTCCAGATGTGGCTGATTGCATTGCTGCTGTTGTTCAGGGTCTCACTATGTAGTCAAAGATGACCATGAACTTGATATACTTCCTTCCACCTCCCAAGAGCTGGGATTACACGTGTGTGCCACCACCTTCATCATGAAGGTAGTTTTACAATTTTCTTTACTAGACTTTGTACATTTTTTCGTTAATATTTATTTCTAGGAATCTCTTTGCTATTGTGAACAGACCCTTTCTCATCATATTTGCCAGTTGGATATTATTGGTACATAAAAAAAGTTTATAAGGTTTTTTTTTTTAATGTGTATGTGTGTGCCTGCATGTGGGTATGTGCACATGAGTGCAGTGCCTGCAGAGGCCAGAAGAGGGCATCAGATCCCTCAGAAAAGGCCTTAAGATGATTGTGAGCCACTATGCAGGTGCTGGGGAATCAAACCCAGGTTCTCTGGAAGAATAGCCAAAGCTCTTAACCACTGAGCCATCTCTCCAGTCCAAGATTATGAGATTGTAAGACTTTTATATCTGGTCCCCTTATAGAACTTTATCCATTGTTTCACTTACATGTTTTGTTGTTATTTTGTTTGGTTTGCTTTTAAGACAGGATCTCACTATGTAATTTTCCCTGACCTCAAGATTCATAGAGGTACCTACTGTTTCTGCCTCCCAAGTGCTGGGATTAAAGGTGTAAACCACTATTGTGCTCCAGACAGTATCCTTCACTCCCTGTATGTGCCCCAACAGCCCTTAGAAGAAGTCAACTAGCACACAAGGTGAAGTTGGCTAGATGAACTAAGCTTCCGAGGTAGGGGATGCCCAATACCTTGCATGCCTGGTGTCATCATAGGTAACAAATGAATGGTGAGCGGGGAAACATAACAAGGAGAAGAATCCTGGTGAGTTTCTACTTTTCTCTTGAGAACTTCTGCCTCTGGAAGGAACTGCTGCCTCTGGTGCTAAGTGCCCTGGCTCTCACCAGCATCACCCTCTGCCATGAGGATTAGTTTGTTACCCAAGGGCAGTAGACCTCTGGCCTTCCCCACTGGCTAAGATGTCACTCATGTCCAAGGCACCCAGTGGGATTCTCTGTGGTTTTCCCTAAGTCTCACCCGTGCCAGCTTCCCGCTCCCGCAGCGTCTGATCCACATACAGCCGGGTCTTTCGGGGCACATTGAGTTTTGTGGTCTGTGCCAATGGTGGACCCACCTCACCAGTCCCTTCCACAAACACTGCTGTCCGCTTTAGGATCTTGATCATCAGGCCACCACCTGAGAAGTGGGCAAACAAAAACATACCCATTCCCCTCTTCTACCCCATATTCCCATTCTTCCCAAAACAACTGCACTCTTGCCCAAACATGTCTATCTTTCTGTCAAGACTCACTTTCTAGAAGAAATGAAATATCTCAAGTCTGTATTTTTTTCCTCCTGAAGAAGGGATCCATATGGCTTAGGACAGACTTGAACTCCCTTTGAACATGACCTTGAATTCCAAGTCCCCCTGCCTCCACCTTTCCAAGTGCTGCTGTTACAGTTGTGTGACAGCACCCTTGGCTGTCGGCAGTCTCTTATCACTCACTCACTCACTCACTCACTCACTCACTCACTCACTCAGCAGCTGTTTATGAAGAACTGTGATATTCTTGGCACTCAGGTGGATGCTGAAGGCATAGGCTGGAGAGGTACTGCCTGACCAGGGTTAGCTCCTAGGCAAAATTCCAACTACTATGATCTGATCCAATCTTACACAGGGCATGTCTGCAGGCCTGGGCTCCCACCTGTCTCTATCCATGCCCCTCCTCCCCCACAGAATCTCATCCCCTTCACTCCAGCCCCACTGTCCTTCCCAGACCCGAGTCCTCACCTCTAGTAGTCATGATGAGGGTGTTGTCTTCTCGCCCATATCGGCCAAAGCACAGGCTGGTTACTGCATCCTACAGGGGAAACCAGACTTTAGCTGGGAAAATATCTTGAGAAGGAAAGCAAGATGTGCTGGAGGGAAGAGCCCAAGTGAGAATTAAAATGGGTAAGATTTAAGAAGTAGCAGCAATATTGCCTCGGAAATATGTCTTGGATTATCCATTTCCCTTCTAATCTCCCAGGCTGTGCTTAAGTTCTACAACAAACACCCCTACCTTCTTTTTGTGTGGCCTTCTGATCACTCTCCTGGGCTACCTAATCTGCCTGCACTGGGTCCTTGGTTGCCTTTGCTGCCTTGCAAAACCACAAACCTCCAAAGGCTTTTCCTCTCCTTAGCAAGATATTTAAGGTCGTCCACATCAGATTCCAGTCCGTCTTACCCAGTTCTCCCAACCCTGTACCTTCTCGGTACAACAGGAGCCAACCACTGCTTCCAGATTTTAGACGTGACCATCAAACTCCAGTAAGGAGTTCAGTTCTATGAGGTGAGATGGCTTGGAGGGTAAAAGCTCTCGCTGTGTGAGTCTGACAGCCTCAGTTCAGTCCCCAGAACCCTCGGAGGAAGGAGGCCATTCTTAAAACTTGTCCCCTGATCCTCACATGCTCGCATGGCACACGCACACACATGTTATTTGTAGTATATTTAAGATATACTATAAATAAAAAAGACCCTGGAACTAGAGAGATAGATCAGGAGTTAAAGGCACTGGCTACTTGAGCAGAGGACCCTGGTTTGACTCTCACATCCACATGGTGGCTCCAGATCCAGGGGATCCTATGTCCTTTCCCAGCCTCCACGGAAAATGTGCTCATGTGCTACACAGATATGCATGTAGGCAAACAGCCATACACACAAAATTCATTTTTAAAAATCCTGATTGGTTATCCAATACCCAATAGTCAGCCCTAAAATCTAATACATACTATATGGCTCGATCAGATTGTAATTATGTGTGTGTGTGTGTGTGTGTGCATGTGTGCATGTAAAACAATAACAACTTAAAAAAAGAGATGATAATTTTGAGAGGGAGCAAGGAGGGTGGGTATGTGTGACGGGTTGGAGGGAGGAAAAGGGAAATGATGAAATGAGATGGTGATGATGGTGGTGATGATGAGAAGAAGCAGCAGGCCTAGTGGCTCAGGCCTTCAATCCCAGCACCCAGCAGGCAACACATGTACATCTTTGTGGGTTAGAGGCCAATCTGATCCATATAGTCATTCCAGGCCACTGAGAGCTGCATAGTGAGACCTATCTCTAAAAACAAACAATGTTTATGTCCCTCATCCTTTGTTCATGCTGCTCCTGGTCTAGAATGTTCCTCTGTCACTCATCTACTTGGCAAACTGATCTGGCCCCGAGTCACTCAGCCCCTCTCCTTTCTAGTGCTTTGCTTTGCCCCCACCCCCACCCCAGCTCTGTGTGTTCACTTATCTCTGGCGGCTGTCACCACATATAAACTCCCCGGAATCAAGGGCTTAGTCATTTTTATGCCCCTTTCCCTTCATGTGGCAACTGTATACATCGTGAAGGGCTCAACCAGCATTTCTAAGGCCCATCCCTATGGGGTCAGGAAAGGCAGTAAAGAAGCAGGGCTGGATGGGTGGAACAAGAGCTGAGGTCCCACTTGAGCTAAGGAGCTATGGCGGTTGACACTGCTGGAGGTAGGAGACTCTTTTATTCAGGGGTGTTGCCACCAGTAAGTTGGCCATGACCCAGTAAATAAACCCACTCCATACACATGCCAACAGCCCTAATTAAACTCAGTGGATTATGTGAAAAAATAAGACAAAACCCCATAAAAATAGGAATTGAGACCTGTTGAGGAGAAGGGTATCACAGGGAGTTGGGGGTGGATCAGAAGGAAATGTGGGTGAATGGGATCAATAACATTCATGTATGAAACTGTTAAAGACTAAATAAAAAAACCAGAGAAGGAAAAAAAGGGCTTGGGTAGGAAGAACCAGCGGCAGTGCTGGAGAGGCATGCTTACAGGGGCGCGGATGACATTAAGCAGGGCCTTGTCTCGGTAAATTCGGACTTCCCCATTGGCCAGAGCAGCCATGACAGCTTGCAGGCCTCGGGATCGCTGCTCCAAGAGGTTCATGGTCAGGATGGCCGCAGGCATCTGTACTGTCCACAGCTTCTTACCCTGGCAAGAAACAGCCAGTGTCTGCAGGGAGCTCAGGGCTTTACATACAAAGAAGGGGTGGCTGGAGCGGCAAGGAGTGGGCAGCTGTGGGCTCACAGGCAGACAGTGTGGAGGGGGCGGGCTGAAGTCCACACCTTGTGGGTGAAGCCATGCAGACTCTCTTGGGTGCTGCCCACCACCAGGATCTTGTGTACCCGGACCAGCCCCACAGGCTGGGCACTCAACTCGATGCAGTACTTGGGGTGTTTGGAGTCTCTGTGGAATAAAGGACATGATACCTCTGACCAGAGGAGCCTTGCGTCTAGCTCCCTGGCTGAGGTGTCCCTTCTCAGCACCCCAGATTAACCCAAGAGCACCCCTGGACCTGAGCAAATGATGAGATCGTTTCTCCACCAACCACTTAGAAGATGCGTGACCCTGGATGACACCAGGTATGTTTTCCTACTGTCCCCTCCTACTCTTCACTATGGTAACAAGTACCCTGGGATTTCACAGTTCTGAATATGTTTACCTGGTCTAGCCAGTGCTATTGGACTTGGAAAGTTTACTGGTTTATCAGAAAAGGATGGCTCATCAGTTTTCTGGCCTCTCCTTCTTAGTTTTACTTTTTGAGACAGAGGGGGTAATTTCTTAGTCATAGCTGTGACCCACTTTCTCCAGGCTGTATAGAGACTGTATCTCACTGGCTTCTGGGCTCTGGGAATTCTCCCTTCTTAGCCTTCCAAATGTTGGGACTACAGGCACACGCCCGCTTCATGCCACCAACCCAGGTGATGTTTCTTTTCCCACTGAGCATCTATTTCTTCTCAGTAAGAACTCATCTAACTTACATTATTTACTATATGTCTTCCCCATGAAGCAGATTCCACTTACCAGTGACTCTCCAACGCCCTGTGCACTACTGAATAGCATTTGCTCAATAAAATGTCTTGAGTTAAGAGACTGTCTGGAGGCTGGAGAGCTGGCTCAGGGGTTAAGAGTACTGACTGTCCTTCTAAAAGACCCAAGTTCAATCCCAAGCATCTATATCATTGTTCACAGTTTCTTGAAAATCTAGTCTCAGGAGGCTTGTACGTGGTGTACAGACATGCACATAGGCAAAATACTCATAAACATAAAATAATTTAGCTGGGCAGTGCTGGGGTACACCTTTAATCCCATCACTCGGGATGCAGAGGCATGCTGATCTCTGTGAGTTCGAGGCTACAGAGGTCTACAGTGCAAGTTCCAGGACAGCCAGAACTACACAAGAAACTCTGTCTCAAACAAACAAACAAACACTGTCTGGAATATCAAACTAATGCATGTGTCACATACATTATAAAACAATATAATAAATACTAGAGATTGTAGCTGCTTCCTCCACTCTCTGACTGCTGCCTCTACCCTCTGGCTGCACTACTCTCCTATTACAGCCCTCATGCCAGGCTCTTACCGGTCAGGCTCCTCCCTCCCCTCCCCGTTCCCCATCTACCCTCCAAAGTTCAGCCTCCTTTACAAAATTCTATCCTTTCAATTCCAAACTCCAGCCTACACCCCTTGTTCATCTTGCAAGCCTCTGAAGCCACCAGGTGTCTGCGGCCGCAGCTGCAGCTACCTTCTCAGGATGTAGATGCTCCCATTCCTGCAAGCAGCAGTCAGACGGAATTCCACATCAAACTGGCCGGACACCTCCAGGAAGACAGGGACACTGGGCAGGCTCATCTGCAAAGAAAATGGCTCAAACCTTCTGACCATGGTTGGAAGAAACTGTTAATTCTTGACTAAAATTCTGTAATCTTCGTTCACTTCCTACTGGTCCCAGCTTAAATTCCTATGCAGCTTTAAGTCTACACCATTTGGCTAAACTCTACCACCTCCAGCAAAGCATGAGCGCTATATAAGTAGACAGACAAAGGCGTCTGAACAGGAAGACCACGGGAGCAGCATCAATAACAGTGAGAAGCATTTACTTGGACACCAAGTGGCCAGGTAAATCCATGTACGTATGTATTTACATACATAACTCCATGGAGAATGTGGAGCCTTTCAGGGCTGATATGAAGCTGCAGTGGTGGTACACATCATAATACCAGCATTTGGGAAATGGAGCTAGGAGGATCGCAAGTTCAAGGCTAGTCTGGGCTACACTGCAAAAAAAAGCAAAGAATAACAACAAAAAGGTTGACATGGTTTTGTGAGCACAGGAAGACCCCAAGGTTATAGAGTAACCTGAAAAGAGCAAATTGTTGGATCTGCACATGAGCCTGTCTATCTAAGGATACTGTACTGCTCACACTCACTATCAACGTAAACAAACCTAGACTCGCCTGAGAGGAGTTTCAGTTGAGGAGCTACATAGGTCAGGCTGCCCTGTGGGCAACTGTCTGGATTGTTAATTGAACTGGCAAGGTACACCATGAATGTGGGCAATATGATTTTACTGGCTGGGCCCTGAGCTGATGAGTTAAGAAAGCCAGCTGCAGATGAAGCCGGTGCCAGCAGACAGCCTGCGTGTGTTCCTTCCTCTCTGTTCTCCTCTGTGGAGTTCCTGCCTCACTTCCCTGAAATGGTAAACTGTAACCTGGAGCTCTCAGTCAATCAAGCCCTATCTTCCCTGAGTTCCTCTTGGTCAGAGTGTTTTATCACAGCAGCACTAATGAACTAGAAGTATACCTCTCTATCAAACAACAATATTTGAACCAAGCTAGACAAGAATTCCACACATGAGAATGTCTGGAAGCATCAGTGCTGAACCTCTCACACCAGAGTGGTGAGCTCTTGGGACATCTAATCTTTCTTTATGCTTAGCTACACTTTCTGAACCCTGAACTACCCACACTCGGAGAACAAGAGGAACATATTCTGGACCTTGTATAAAACCAGGGACAGACCTGATACTGACCTTAGCCAAAATGGTGAAGGCCTCAGGGTCCAGCACAAGGAGTTCCTTGTTCTCAGTGCCTAGCACCAGACAGGACACTGCATCCTCATCCGCCAGGTTCTTCTTCAGGGTGGTCATTGTGGTGATGACTGTCTGCAGAAGACCCCACCATGTTCCCAGATACCCCAGAGCCAGAGGAGGAGAGGGAGAGGGCAAAAGAGGAACAAGTATCAGAAGTTGCCTGAATGTTGATAGCAAGAGTGTTTCTTCTACAAACCTAAATGCATAACGATAAGTATTGTCTAAGCCACTCATGAGCCGTTCACATGTTGGTCAAAACCAACAGGGCCACACAGTTAAGAGCTGGGTGTGATTAGTCACAACTACTGTGGAATCTCAGCAGCAGGAGCTGGAAGATTGCTGCATGTTCAAGGCCAGCTTGGCTTAAAATTCCAGTTCCAGGCTAGCCCAAACTACCTAGCAAGACCTTGTTTCAAACAAACAAACAAACAAACAAACAAACAAACAAACACTCTAAACAACAAAAAGACATGTTTTAAAAGAAGATCCAATGACATGGGCATCTGCAGGCAGCAGGCCCAAATGCAGTGCACATGTGTACATGTGGGCAAAACATTCATACACATAAAATAAAAATAAAATATATCTTTAAAAAATGTCGCCAGGCAGTGGTGGTGCATGCCTTTAATCCCAGCACTTGGGAGGCAGAGACAGGAGGATTTCTGAGTTCGAGGCCAGCCTGGTCTACAGAGTGAGTTCCAGGACAGCCAGAGCTATACAGAGAAACCCTGTCTTGAAAAAAAGAAAAAAAAAATGTTTACAATCCAGGAGTGGTAATACAAGCCTTTAATCCCAGCAGTCAGGAAGCACAGACAGGTGAATCTCTGTAAATTTAAGGTCAGCCTGGTCTACACAGTAAGCTTTAGGATAGCTGGGACTATATAGTGAGACCCTGTCTCAAAAACAAAACAAAATAAAATAACATATGTGAACATAGAAACATGCTAAAACCTAAACCCACAAGCACAGACACTGGTTCTCTCTGAGCAATGAGAGCAGAGCTTTTCTGGAACGTCTACAGGAGACACCTGTTTATTCTGTAGTTACAACTGGATGTCTAAAAGGAAGGCTTCCATTTCAAAGAGTTTCTCTATGGAAACTAGCAGAAGCAAAATGTTTTCTTGTGAATGAGTGCACTGTATGCTGTGCACGCATCATTACAAGTGCACACAGAAGCACTGGAGGGGTAGTGGGTACACACGGTGACGTGAACCACCGAGGGTGGTGGTGCAGGCCTGCAAACTCAGCACTGGGAGGCAGAGGCAAGAGGATCAGGAGAGCAAAGACAAACTCAACAAATGAGATGCTATCACAAAAAAGCAACCAGTGAAATCAAACAAATGGAAAAAAATCATAACCAATTAAATAATTAACGAGCTACTAAAATTAGAGTTCTCAAAGGCTATGTAAAATATGACGTTCTCAAGATGTTACTCAAGGGAAGCAGCATAGATGCCTATCTGTGAAGGAACTGTTCAGAAATGGCAAGAAGAGCGTGTCTCTAGGAAGTGGAATCATCTTTATAGTCCTCTTTTATTTTCTGAATATTCTGCAATAAGGATGTAATTATCTTTATCCTTAAGAATATAAGTGTGATAATATTATGTCATAGCTGTTTCATAGCCATCCATGCTAGAAAGCTCCCTGCTTTTAGACCCTAGACTTGTGCCACTGGCCAGGCTCAGTGTTAGAATCAATTGCTGATTACATGGTCTTTTTTTTTTTTTTTTTTTTTTTTTAAAGAGGAGTGTTTGGAGCTGGAGATACAGTTCTGTTGGTAAAGTGTGTGCTTGGCAAGCAGGCGCTGTATTTGATCCCCAGAAGCCATAGACGAAATGCCAGGGAGGCAGAGACAGACAGATCCCTGTGGCCTCCTGGATGGCAAATGTAACCTAATTGGTGAGCTCTATGCCAAAAGAAACCTTATCTCAAAGGAGATGGATGGCATTCCTAAGGAATGACCTGAGGTCATCTCTGCCCTCCACACCCAGGCACACTCAAGTGCACCTGTCTGCATATGAACACACACAATTTTAAAAGTGTAAACACTTTGATAGGGCAATAAAGAGAGAAAGGGTATTACCTGCCGCTTGATAACCTTGGACTTGTGCTGGTTCACAAACGCCTCCATTTCACTAAGCTCCAGCTGCAGAAACCTGCACACACACAGAACGGGGACCGGCATGCCGTGGCCTGGCTGCCTCTGGTGCCAGTCCACAGGCACCCCCTCCGCCCTGCCCCAAAGGACTCCTACCTGAGTGACTGCACAGACAAAGGCACCTCTGCCTTTTCCCTGCAATGACAATGGCCAACATGGCGGCTTTCATGAGGGTCATAGGAGAGCTTCAGGATGAAGGAGTGCAAAGTGGGAAAGTGGGCTCTCACCTGATGTCCTCCAGCATCTCCTTCAGTGTTAAAGGGTCAATCCGGTCCTGTGTCAGCATGGGGAGAAGAGAGAGCCTGTGAGCTCTAACTGGCAGCTATGCCCTCAGCCAGCTTACTATGTCTATACTTGGGCACGAGGGGCAGGTCTTTCTCTTCGCTTTCTTCTCAATGGCTTGGCACTCAACCTCAAGTCTGAGATCTCGCTTTGAATCCACCTCGGGATCATGTTCGTCCTCTTTATTGTTGCCTCCTAACGTGTCCCTACTCTCCAGGGTCACCCCCCCACTCACTCAGGTGAGCCTTTTCCTTCTTTAGTTCCTCTTTCTCCACAGGTAGGAAGGGATGTAGTTAGTGGAAAGGCATCTAAATGTTTCTATGGTGACTGCTCTCCAAAGGACCTGGCTCAGTGCCTTCTTGGAAGCTACTGCTCAGGGCTGAGCACAGCATCTCACTGTTGCTCCAGAGCTGGGCTGAGGCCTACCTTCCACTACTGCGAGCCCACTGAGAGTCTGGTCCTCCTCCTTCAGTGGCTGCTGTCTCTGAGTTCTTCTTTGCTGTCACCTACCTCTTTGGCTTGGTTCCAAAGGTCTTGTTCCAAAGGGTTTGGTGGTAACTGGGGCAGACTGAACTTGAAGTAGGGTCTAAGGTTCTTATAAACATAGACACAAGGTCCTGAAGCGAGTGCTAGGGCAGGTGTCCTGGGCTCGTGTTGGTCCATGAGGAAGGTGGCAACCGAGGCCGGCAGAGCAGGCAGTGGGCTTTCTGTCAGCACTGTGGGTCCTTTGAGCACCTTCAGGCGGGGCTGCTGCCCACCTGGTCCAAGGTCTCCCACCACCAGCTGCAGGGAGAAGAGACTGTTCAGCATAAAGGCCGTCTCAATCATTCTTTTTGCTAGTGCTTTCTAATCCACTCTTACATTCACCCAAGTCTTGCCGTGAGGCTTAGAAGAGGTATTCCCCTTAGCAAAGTTACCTAACTATTTTGAACTCAGGTTTCTCTCTTGCAAAATGGGAATGTCTACCTCATGACACCTGGAGGAAAATCAAATAAAATCCTGAATTATAGGCCTGGCAAATGCTCAGGGGCGGATGAGGGGTTTATCTGTTCATTATTCATTCCTTTCCTTTTCCTGTGGTGATGGGGATTAAACTTGGGACTCTGAACATAGCTGTAATGTTCTTCTCTGTTATGGGGCTAAGATATTTTATATTTATATTGAAATAATTTTTTGGGGGGGGGTTTCTGAGACAGGGTTTCTCTGTGTAGCCCTGACTGTCCTGGAACTCACTCTGTAGACCAGGCTGGCCTCAAACTCAGAAATCCACCTGCCTCTGCCTCCCAAGTGCTGGGATTAAAGGCATGTGCCACCACTGCCCGGCAAAATAATTTTTTTAACTAAGAAAAATTTCTAGTTATAAAGAAAAGTAGAGAGAAAAGAATTATAGACCCTCATAATAACACTATCAGCCTCTATGATCACCAGCATCCTGATAATTTATGTCCTCTTGAGAAACAGAAAAATCTTACTTCCCTGAGTTTTGTTTCCCTTCACATTCTAAATTACATATATTTATATGTGTGTGGGGACAGCCATGTCATAGCACACGTGTGGAGATCAGAGGGCAACTTTAGGGAGTTGGTCCTTTCCTGCTATCCCACTTAACCAAGAGATAGAACTCAGGTCATCAAGCTTAGCAGCAAGCACCTTTACCCAATGAGACTCTAATGCCTATTCCCAATCAAGGTATTTTCCCTTACACCAAAGAATCATGTCACAGTATTTAAACTAAGAGGCTGTTTGCTCACCTCGGCAGCACACACACTATGATGAGGATGATATAGAGAAGGTTATTAACATGGTCTCTACTCAAAGATGACACACAGAAACTGGGCATATGGCCCACACCTTTAATTCCAGCACTTGGGAGGCAGAGGCATGTGAATCTCTGTGAGTTGGAGCCAGCCTGGGGCCTGGACTACATACTGAGTTCCAGAATAGGCAAGAATACTATATAGAAAAACTTTTGACCAAAAAAAACCAAAAAGACACACAGCTTTGAGAATCATTTCACATTTTAAGCCCATTATTTTGTATTATAAACCAAAAAGTTAAGCCATAACAATTAGACATAAAGAACTGGGGCCTGCAGTGGGTAAAGGTGCTTGTCACCATGTCTGATGGCCCAGGCTCAATCACTGGAACCTACATGCCAGGAGAGAACTGACTCTCAAAAGTTGTTACCTGACCTCCATACTTCATGCATCCTTCCAACACTAGATAAAAAAATAAATGTCTCCAAATTAATTTTGTCGCTAATTTTGTTTCGGGAGGTGGACTTCTTTGTTAGTTTGCTTTTGTTTTTGATGCAGTCTTACTAAAGTAGACCTGGCTGGCCTTGAATTTCACAGGTCAGTCTCAAACTCAGAGATCTCCCTGTTTCTGTTGTCCAAGTGCTGCAATTAAGTCATGCACCACCACTCCTAGAACCCACATTATTTTTTTAGAGAATCATATGTCTTAGTACTATAAATCCACATCTTGCTTTCTGTTTTACTTCTACAGATCATGTTATAAAATTAATGTTCACTTTCCAAATTACAAAGAAATTCTGGTGTTAGAGGGATGGCTCAGCAGTTAAGAGTACTGGCTGCCCTTCCAGAGGATTCTGGTTCAACCCCCAGCAACTCACAAGACAGCTCTCAACTGTCTTTAAATCCTGTTCTAAGGGATTTGACACCCTTACACATGCACACATGCAAAGCACCAATACACATACAAATAAAAAAAAATCATTAAAAGAAAGAAAGAGCCGGGCGGTGGTGGCGCATGCTTTTAATCTCAGCACTTGGGAGGCAGAGGCAGGCGGATTTCTGAGTTTGAGGCCAGCCTGGTTTACGGAGTTAGTTCCAGGACAGCCAGGGCTATACAGAGAAACCCTATCTCGAAAAACAAAGCAAAACAAGAAAGGAAGAAAGAAAGAAAGAAAGAAAGAAAGAAAGAAAGAAAGAAAGAAAGAGAGAAAGGAAGGAAGAAATTGCAATGAAATGTGCCTTTAGTACTGGTGAGTTCCAGAGTATGTTGAGCCTCTTTGCAAATCTCACTTCTGAGTTCTGCCCCTCCCTCAATTTTTTGATTGCCTACCTTGTACTCCCCGTCACCATGCAAATCTGCCAGTGCTAGAAAACACAAAAGGGTTGTAAATGAATCTCAGAATCCCAGTTTTCTCCATGAAACCGTTACCAGTTCCTCCCATCTTCCTAGAATCTGGGTGTTCCTAGGTCTGTCTAGAGACTCACCCAGGCAGGAGGAGAAGGTGTGGATGTTGGCCATGGGGTCGTAGTGTGCGTCCAGCCATTTCGAATTGGCTTCGTTGCTGAGACGGAAAAAAAAAAGATAGTTGGAAAGTGAGTCCCATAGCAAAGGAAAAAAAAGCTCTAAGAGAGATGACACCTGAGACTAAGAGCACAGACTCTGAAAGGCTCTAGATCTGGGCTCATTTGGCGCCCGGAGTGACCAGCCAATCACATACAGACACTTCTTGGCCGTCGGCTTTGCTTTCGTATCTGATTTCTAAAGGGCACTTCCAGAATTTCCACCGCTGTTAGAAAGCAAGAGCCCAGGACCCGCCACCAAGCACGATCTATTCATCTGAGGGAACGGAAGCAGTGAAGAACGGGGACCTAACCTCTCAGCTCGCCCGCTGTCAGAATCCGAAGACCTCGCAGCCATCTTCCCAGGTGTCGCCTTGGCAACCAGCTCAGCCGTCGCGCAACACCTAATAGAATCCGGGCATCCGAAAGCACAGGAACAAAAGTTCCGGGATGAAATTGTCCAGGCTGGGACCAAATAAGCGCTGGTTTCCTTGTCCTGTGCAACGCTGATTTACGGTTTCTGCATAAAAACAGGGGCCCTGGCTTCGAGGCCTGGGGAGGAGCCCTTTTTAGGGGTTAAGACTAGGCTGAGAAACAAATTAAAGGATAGGCTCTCGTGTTAGTACGTTCTAGTTCTTTAGCTCCTGAAATATTTCAAAGTACAAGAATGTTTGCTGCTCTTGCAGAGGACCCTGGACTGCTTCTCAGCACCTACATGGCAGCTCACAATTCTGTAACTCTAGTTCCAGGGGATCTGATGCTGTCTTCCAGCCTCTGCTGGCACCGGCACACACGTGGAGAAAATGCACACATACACACAAATATTTAAAACATGTCACAAAGGAGAGCTCCAGAACCCATGCTGTTTGTTCCTTCCTTTGGAAATGATATCAAAATCTTTTTTTAATCATTAAAAATTATAATTTATTAAAGGTACAAAGATGACCAATACAATCTACAGGTTTCTCCTGTTTAGATTATAATACAATGTTAAATAAGGCAGACTTAAAATTTTTTAAATATTTTAAAACCCAGAGCTTTACCTTTGAAGGAAAAAAAAGAAAGACCAAACTGCCCAAATTTGAATCATAGTATTCCTTTAAATCAAAAGTAAAGATAACTTGGGTTTGAAAAGACATAAGAAAGACGCTAATATTAGATACTTTATGTTAGAATAAGTTCAAGGTTAAAGATCTCTGTTTTAATTCACTTATGATGCCTGACCTCCCCTCAAAAGCCTGTATTTTTAGTTCCAGTGGTGGTAGTAATGGTACTTTGAAACTGATGTGTAATTCTTCTGCCTTGGTGGCTTTTTTTTTTTTTTTAGAGCTGTTTATAAAGAAATTGATGCTAACCACCAGAAAAGAACTCAAAGTCATAGTGACTGCTGAGGTAAATGACACCAATGATATCAAAATCTTATTGTGGACTGGAAGCCAAAAGTGATGTACTGTGCCCTCCCCAGGTTTTGAACTGAAAGAAGAAGAAACACACACATTGCAAAGATGGTGGTTGTCATATTTATTTTTCTGGCTATAAAAGTAATACACGAAGAGTGCTGGATTTGGTGAAAATGCTTTGAGCCCTGGCTCTGTCACTTGCCACCTGTCAGATCTAGAACAGTCACTTCTTGGAACTACCACCTTCCCATCTGGAAAACCAGACTAGGCACCCTGTTGAGCTCCCGCCATAGATGGCAGTGCAGATCCAGGAACTGAGGACAGTATGGTAAACTGGAAAGTGCTGACAAATGGAAGGGGTTTGCATCACCACCCTCAGCTGAGGTAGCACCAAAGTCCGAGCTCCTACCCCTCCCCTGACTCCTAATCACACACAATTCAGAGCCACTGACAGCCCTGGTTTGACAAAGAGGGGAGAGACCACACAGGTCTTCTCAAGCCTGGCCAGACAGGGCCTCCTGGACCTGGTCCCTCCAGAATTGAGCATCTGCTGCGGCCAGCTGGGTAAGAGCCTCCTCCAACTCAGGCCCATCCTCAGGAAAACGCTCACAGAAGGACCGGATGAGACCAGCCGCTGAGGCCTCATACTCTACAAGTTGGACTTCTGAGCCTGGGAGGAGATGGAGAGAAAACAGCAGCACAGAAAGATGTGGTTACATAGTAACATTCATAGGGGCAGCAAGTTCTGACTGAGCTCTAGGGCACAAACTGTTCAGTGTTCAGGCTAGTTATCTAGTTAAGGCATCAGAATAACCCTATGAGGAAGGCAAAATGACATGGGGAAGACTTAGAGTTACATGAACTGCCACCTGCTCTCATCCTTCCCTTATGTACAAAGTCAAGTCAAGTCTGGCATGGTAGCATACACCAGGATCCAGCACTCAAGGGGCTGGGGAATAAGGATCATTAATTTTAAGGCTAACCTAGGAAATCCTGGTCTCAGAAGCAACATAACCCCAACAATCACTAACAAAAATGACTGACAAAGCACTATGTCAGGGCTGGAGAGATGGCTCAGGGAGTTAGAGTACTCGTTGCTCTTGTTGAGGACCCAGGCTGCTCTTAGCTTGGCCTCCAGCACCCACAAGGTGGCTCACAATCAATATAATTCCAGTCCCAGGGGATCCAATGCCCTCTCATGGCTTCCAAGGACACTGCATGCACATGGTCCACACACATACATGTAGGCAAAACACACATCAAATAAATAAATCTGAGATCAATTTTTAAGTGCTATATTAGATCAAACAAGATAGTCTTTAGCCTCTTGAAACTCACAGTGCATCAACTGCTTCATACGTCTAGTTTGACGTATGTGCAAGTTTCCCAGCTGCTCTAAGCCTCAGAGCCTTGTGGGTAAAGTGGGGAATAAACATAGTACCTCCCTTCCTGTGCTATATGATAGAGCATCAGTGGGGTGCTCAGCAGCAGCTCTGAGCATCTGCCCTGTTAAGTGGGCCTGTCACAAGCCCCCTAGATTCTGGTGGGAATCGTCCCCTTGACTACTCCTCAGCTGCTCAACCTTTGCACTCTGTGTAGCATGTGGCCCTGAGAGGTAGACAGTAGCTAAGAGTGCAGGCTTCAGGCTAACATGGCCTAAGTTCAAGTCCTGACTCTGTGAAGACCATTGTGTGTATTTCAGTTCCCAGATGAAAACTGGTGAGAGGATATAGTAATCATTCTTCATTGGGCTTGGGGGAGTTCATTCTTGAAAAGTTCCCCACCCCACCCCCGCTCTCATACTGGGGATGGAACCTGGGACCTTATTTGGCAGTGCAAAGCATGCTGCCAGCTAGCTACAATCCCAGCCTATTGTGAAAACACTTTACCCAGTACCTAGGGCCTGCAAGTCCTTTACCACCACCATCATCACTACTACCAACTACCAAAGTGCTGGGGGTAGAACCCAGGGCCTCTTACATACTGGGCAAATGTTCTACCAGGGACCACACCCCAGCTCACCACTACCTTTGAAAACTCCAACCTGTTCCTCAGGTCTGGTTCCTTCCACCACTTCCTCCCAAGACCTTTCCTGAACACTCTGAAGCTACAGATGTGATCTTTATCCAAGTGTTTAGAGCACTGTTTGTACCCTTTAAACATGTGTGATTAATATCTTCGTTGAGTTTTCATCCTAATGGGCTCTGAACTACTTCAGAAAATAGCCTCAGTTACATCCACTGCTCCATCCCTCAGAGGCCTCCCCTGAACTCTGTGTATCAAAGCACAAAGAAAATGAGGCTGAGAGACAGGAGACTGAAGGGGTTATTTGAAGGGATTATTTCATGTTGAGGGGCTGGAGACAGCATGTCTCAAGAAGGTGCCATTTAACAGGGACCTGACTAACAAGAAGAATCAGACAAGCACATATTTGAAAGACACTGTGCCAAGCAGAGGGAACAGTGTGTACAAAGGCTATCAAGTAGAGTAGCCTTGGAGAGACAGGGCACACAAGGTACCGGTACCATGCAGGCAGGGTCAGGGATTCTGAAAATGGAATGTTACTTGAGAAGGGGGAACGAATGATCCAGGACATCTCCATCCTGAATGTTGCTGATTCACATTCTCTTCAGTTCTAGGACTACATGGTCCCAGCTCATTGCCTGACGTTACCTCCGTTGAGGACCTTCAGTCAGGATCTGCCAGGTCCAGGTCTGGTCTCTCTACAAGCTCCACTCTGTTGCCTTCCTGAGACTCTTACTGCTGTTTGACAACTAGTGCCATGTGTGTGTGTGTGTGTGTGTGTGTGTGTGTGTGTGTGTGTGTGTGTAAGGTTCTGGGCCCGAGGTTTGTCAGAAAGAACGTGGCAGAGATAGCCCTCCCTGAACCAAGCGCATCATCTGCTCTCTGGAGAGACCTCAGGTAGCTCCACCAAATGCTGTAACATCTGTTACCTTCGAGGCGAGTGTTGGGCTGAACAATAAGCTTCCGGGATTCCTTGCGCAGCAGTACGGTATCCCGTAGGGTGAGGAAGCACTCTGGGGGTGCGTCAGTGACTGTTGCATAGCCCTCGTACAGGGCCCGCCCTGCAACCACATCCCCTGTGGACTTCAGCACCTGCAGGAAGGAGGCATTGAGCGCGTCGGATGGGCACTATCCAGGGCTCTGCCAGCAGCCATGGCTTTGTACCTAGCTCTGGATAGGATGTGCTATGGCTTGTTTTTTTATAAAATTTCAGAGGTACAAACCTAATGGCTAAGCTGGGTATGTTAGCACCTATAATCCCAGCACTTGGAAGGCAGAGACAGGAAGATCAACAGTTCAGGGCCATCCTTGGCAACATAGGGAGTACAGCCTGAGCTACATAAGACTATCTAAAAAGTCAACAATCAAACATCCTAGATGGTTAATTTTTTTTTAAGATAGTGTCTCAATATATAGACTAGCCGGGCCTTAAACTCACAAGAGCCCCGCCCACTCCTGCCTCCTGCGTGCTAAGACTAAGGTGTGCAGCAGGATGTCTGACAGCTACATTGTTTCAAAAGGCTACTGCATCCTAAGAGGTTGGGCTTTAGGGTTAAGAGATTGCTCAGTGGGTAAGAACCACAAGCATGAGTTCAAATCCTGAGCACCCAAGTAAAAAGCTAGGCACTGACATATGGGCCTGTAATCCCAGTACTGAGGGTTGGGGTACAAGAGGGTCACTGGGGCTTGTTGGTTGCCAGTCTCACTCCAGGTTCAATGAAAGATTGTTTTGTTTTTTCTTTCTTTCTTTCTTTTTTTTTTTTTGTTTTTTTGGTTTTTTTGGGACAGGGTTTCTCTGTGTAGCCCTGGCTGTCCTGGAACTCACTCTAGACCAGGCTGGCCTCAAACTCAGAAATCCACCTGCTTCTGCCTCCCAAGTGCTGGGGTTAAAGGCGTGCGCCACCATTCTCACACACACACAACTCCTCAATATCTCATACACACACTCAACC